CTGTGCACTTTTTTGTGTGCCCTTTTAAATAAATAAATAAATACATGTGTGTATGTTAAGCATTAGTTACATAACTATGAAGGATGCATCTGGGAGCAGGTAGTGTACATCTGGGAATGGGAGGAATACTGTCCCTATCAATGTGTGTGATGGATAATGAGTTATGTAGTTTGGAGAGTGGTAAATACTGGTGTTGGGAGGAACTGTGACTTCGTGTTTATGGACCTCATCAACTGTTCCTCTTTGTGGAGGTATGCAGTAAGAGACAGGACAGATTTCTGCTAGAATTGAGACAGTCACACATCAAAGATCGAAACTGCATTACTTCAGACTGTGGGGTGCAAATTAGTAGTAGTGGGGCTAATAGGCGCTTTGTGAAATGTTCCTGCTAATACTGCTGATAGTTTATGAATTTACATGATTTTAAATCTAAGCTGAATGCTCAGCTGAACCAAACTTCACCAGCTTGGTGGAAAAATTAATTAGATCCAACTTTTTGATCTGTCTTGCACATAAAATCAGAGATCCAGCAATAGAGTGCAAAACAGATCACTTCTCTGGCTTTTACAGTTTCAGCTCATAAACTGTTTCAGCCATTGCACAATTCTCTTATGTCTGATCCCTAATTCAGTACAATAAGTGATAAAATGTTTGAAAGGTCTTTTTCTTTCTTAGCACAGTAAAAATCTTAGCTCATCTGATGAAAATATTATTCTTGCTTCTTAAAAATATTGTCTCCCTCTCAATTACCCACACAAGACTCTTCAGTTTCAAAATAGTCTCTTTTTTGTACTGTTCAGAGCGAAGGGAAATGTTTCAGTTTCTCAGCAGATTCTGCTAGCGCACAGTTCTACACTCCTGACAGGTCTTAATGATGTGTGGAGTTCTGTATGTTTGGATCTTGACACTTAAAAAGTTTCTACTAATCATGTGTACTGGAATCACTTAAAGGAATCTTTCAAAGGCTTGACTGGAAAATTACGAGGCTTTAGTCATTATAATCATTTATATGTACTGTTCTGTCCCTTGCAGTGTGCTTCTCTGCTGAAGGGTGCCCTGAATGTAAACTACTATTTCAGAAGGAGTACATTAAGCAGAGGCTCAGATATGTTGCTATGGTGTGAAAAATATTTAGTTTTACTAGCAGTCTTTTTCATTTTGCTAAATGTATTCCTGGGAAACAATTTTAACAGAAAGGTTTTTAAATTATTTGTATAATATGTTGGTGCCCTTTCACCAAATAAGGAGCTAAAAAAATTTTAGAATAGCTAAAACTAATATAGGCCTGAAAGTTCCTCTGTATGCCATCACTAACTCTAAACATTCAAAAATGTTGTTGAACTTACAACAAGAAAAGCCCCCTCAAAAGACAAAGGTGGAACATCTGATCAAACTTGTGAGAATTGTCAAGATGTCTGACTCATTCAGAGCAGGTGAACTTTTTAAACTCTTTTGTATGCCACTAATTCAATTATTTCATTTTCCACATCTTAGTATGTGTCACTGAAATGTTTTTTCCGTCCATTTATATGTGACAGCTAGAGCACCTAAACAGATACATGTTTCTGTGTGTCATGAGGAAATGTCTTTCAAAGACTGACTTTTGACTTATTATCTTCTATCCTGTGGATTATTTTTTTAAGAAAAAGGAATTATTAATTTGGGAAGAAAGAAACTTTATATAGAAGCATTTCTTCTTCTTTATATAGAATATTTCTTCTTTTAAATTAGCTGAAAATATCTTCACAGAACAGTAGCTATACAAGCAATTAGTAGGTTGGGATGGTGTATTTAGTTTTACGTGTGCTAACACTTTTTTGCATTAAATTGTTGACTTTCATTTAAGGCAGCAGAGACTGAGCTTGAGAACAGAGTGCTACCACAGTCTGATGCCCATTTATGCTTTTCTCAGGTATTTTTGTCTCAGAGAATTTCCCGCTCCACAGCATTTCCATCTCTGCTTTATTCACAGACGTCCATGTTAGTCAGCCCTGCTCTGGCTTTGGTGGTAGTGCTTGAACATTTGTGTGTGCCTATTATTTGTTTGTACTGATGATCAATATGGGTCCAAAAGTGCAAGTAAAATACTGTCTCTGAAACTTTTCTGAGTCAGTAGCAGCATAGCCTCTTGCAGTTGGAAGTTAAAGTTCTTACCACACTCCCACAGAACCAAGATGAATCTGTTGCCTTTTGTACATTATTTAAAATTCTGTCTGAAAAGAAACTTACATGCAAGTTTGTACAGAAATGCAAAAGCTGTAGATAGTGCAAAAGGCATTCAGTTAATTCCATGTGAACAGCTCCAGTGAGTAGGTATCTAAGTGCATGTAATAACAGGAGACCATAACCAGATCCTGCAGTGGTGTACAATGGGTAAACATGCCTCTGCACCAGTAACTATTTGTTTAGCTTGCAAAGTTGTTTCCAAACAAAAAAGTAATAAAGTAATACCAAAGGAACTAAATCATGAGAAAATGATATAGCACTTGCTGAATAATATTAATTTATTAAATTTGTCAGAGGTTTATTAGGATTTAATTTTGGCGTGTAGATCCCAGTAGCGTAACAGGTTTGTGCTCTGTAAAAGATCATGGATTCTCTTACACAGAAATTTGGGATTATTTAGCGCTACACTGAATTCATTTGCAGTATTATTTCAAATACTCTTGGAAACAGAAAAGGCAAGGGCTCTAAAAAAGAATTGTCAAATAGTAATCCTTCTGTCAAAGATATGCTTGCGTTGTAGCTGAGTGGAAGAGTGAGCCTGGCAATGTAACCTGCCATGCTCTGACCAGACAGGAGCAGGGCAGCTTCAGCAGCTTTCACAGAGGCATAACTCATGGGGGATAGTGTCACTGACAGGTTTATAGGAATTCATGGTGTTGATACTTGGTTTTGCTGTCAGACTGATTCCTGTAAATGCTACTGAGGGGTTCTGGTGAGTAAATAGTTAGTAATTTACTGTTATCAACTTTAAACTATTTCTGGTTTTGCGTTTACTTATAAAATGGTGCTTAAAAAATTCCAAATTGTGTCTGATTGACACAGAAATGCTCTTTACATGAAAGTTTGTTTATGAGCCATGATTCGTTTGACAGATTTACAAGTGTCTGTGGAGTTTTAAGACTATTGCCCAATAGGCATTAAGTGAGAGACATTCTATTTTGTAAATATTTTCACTTATATTGGGGATTTTTAAAGAACTTTTTGAGCCAAGTACTGCATTAAATCTGAAGACAGTGGCAAACTGATAATCAGCAGTTTCCAGCTTCGTTTTAATGTTTTGCTAATGCTTTCCATTTTTGTGGCCAAGATTTGTAGTGGGTGAAGCATGATGTACATCCAACAATTTGTAAGGGCTTTCAAATACTTTTGCACACTTGTATTTTCCTTTTTTTTTTCCTGCAATAGCTCATTTAGAAATAAACAATTTTCAAAATAGCATATTACATTCAATTCCACTAACATACAGCTCATACCCAGGAAAAGAACCAAAAGTTTATTACATTAGTGGAGAATTTGCATCTGTTTGAACTCAGTAATGCTGAAACAGGTTTTTCATTTTCTCAAATGATTATTTTGGAATGGTAAGAGGAGAATTGTATGTATGGTGTGATAGCTGTCAGCTTCCTCAGAATTCCTTCAGATTCCTCAGAATTTCAGAAAGACATTTTTTCAGAAAGAAGCTTTTCATTGTGTATTTAAAAGATGGAATATGATGTGTTTAAATCACCACTCCATTCTGCCTACTTTCTGGCATACAAACAAATATCCATTAACTCTGCTCTGAATCATTTGAAAGGTTTGTCATGTGCTACCGGATAAAAGACCACAGATTAAAGATAAACTTAGACTGTAGCCCAGGCCATTTTACACAACCTGCAGTTTGAGTTGTGGAGGGTTGCTAAATTAAAATATAGTCTTGGGTGGGAATCGGTATTTTGCTATAAGAATTGACCAAATGTATTTCTGCTCTCAATTAATTGAAAATCTGTGATGGTTTTCAGTATGTCCTGGTGGTCCAAGGGTTTATAAGCACAATACTACTTGCACAGTAAAATGCATCTATTTTCAACCTTCCCTTGACTTTTTACACTACATTGCAAATTTAAATAATGGGACATTGTAATCACACAGGCTCAACTTCCATTCCGACAGTTTTACATTAAATTTTGTTTAATGGTGGTAGCAATATGGTGTGAATACAGTTCATGCAGTCAAACTGTAAGTCTTTGGTTTAACTTCAAAATAAGTTTCCTTCTAAGTATTGCTTCTTGGAAATGAAAAATTGTAGAAGAAAAATCTTGTAGCGGTTTATAAATTCAGTTGCTAAATGGAAAGTAATTTCATTTTGATTTCTGCCTCCTGTCATCTTTAATGTGGAACACTGCAATGCACTAAGTTTATTAGAAATTCTAGGCCTGTTAAAATTCATTGGCAAATGAAATTAAGTTTTTCAGAAATTGGCATGGCATTGGTTCTTAAAATAGCAGATAGATTAAATAGTAAACAAATGGCACTTATATTTGAGTTCACTTTCTTACATACTTCAACTAATTGGTATCATGGTCTGGGGATGGAATACTCAAGTAATGCTGAATTTCTGCATCTGTTTCATGAAAAATGGTTGAGTATGGGATGCCTGACATTGATTGATTAAAATCAATTCAGATACAAAGGATCCTCCACTCACCACAGAAACAGACTTTAAAGCTTTAAATATACCATCTAGAATTAGTGTGTGAGGCAAGCTGTGTTATTAGCAAGCCCTAGCACACTGCAGGAGTTTTAGAACAAATTCCTTACTAAAGACAAATTCTACTCTTTAAACATATGTAAAATTTTTTATTTAGCATGCTTGACTAGTATTTGTATTTCTTAGCGCTTATTTATAACCTCTAAAGTAAATTCAGGTGAGTATTTAGAGGTAGGCTCCTATGGTGCTGAAATTTACTTTTGGTACATTTCTTCTGTCATAAATATGTCTCATCTTTTTGTAGCCTCTGAAAAGCAGATGAAGTTAGTTTGCAGAGAGTCTTCTGAAGAACATCTCCAGCCCTTCAAGGAGAAATTAGAGGAATTCTTTCAGAAAGGTAACCACATCTGAAAAAAAATCTTACTGCCGAATAGTGTAGTGGTTTATAAAGTTATGTGTAATGTAAGCTGCATTAAATATCTGTTTCCTCTGAAAATTCCTGTGGATTATGTTCCTAATGGGCCTGATATATGTTCATATATGTTGATATATGTTATACAGATCTTGGACATCACTTGTCAAAGCTAATCACTCCCTTGATCTCACCCATTTCCCACTGGTTATTTTGTGCTTTGTTCTTTATTATTATTTGTAGGCAAAATGAAAAATATATTAATCACAGACGAAATTTATCAGAGGGAATATAAAGCTTCAAAGACTTAAAAAAGACAAGAGTGAAAGACACTCTTTTAGAGAAAGTCCACATATATACATGTCATCTTTTCTCCCTAGTGTGGGCTTATGAACTGACTTATTCATATTTAAAGATTTTTGTCTTGCGTGAGACAGAAATAAATATTAAAAAAGTGATTTACCAGGTTAGAGTCTGGAGGCAGTGGGTGAAAACCAAGGTGCAATTTGGTGCTCAACTGAAGACAATGTAAATGCAGGTTGCTGTTGAAAACAACAGTCCTGCTCCTTCCTGTTTCTCATACTGTGTTCCCTATCACCTGCTTCTGCCAGCACCATTGCTTCTGCAGTTGTGGAAAAAATATGCAGGAAGAGATTTTCCCCCCTCTCCTCGTAGGAGTACAATCTTCTTGGGTAAACAAAAAAAACTTGTATTTTTGACAGAGATATTAGAATTGTTGAGAAATTAATTGTATTTCTCATAGAAATGGTGCACAATTTAACAATTTTCTATCTGAGAAGTCAGTTAAACTACCTGAATCTGCTCATCCAGACAGAATATTGGTGATCATTCAGATTATTGTAGTAATTTATTAATTTGCTTAATCGTTTTTACGTAGGTTGTTCTAAAGTCTTTTTAATAACTTTGTTTCATTAGGCTGTCTTGTGTAAATACTTTGACAATTGAAAACAGGCTGTTTCAAAAGTAGCAGTTAAATTGTACTGGTAAATAAGCTGATATTCTCCTTTGCCATTCTCCCAGGCCATGGTGCAAGTGTATTTGGACAGTATTTAAGCAGCAAATTCCTCGCCACAGAATTTTTAAAACAAAAAATGTAATGGAAATCTTGATGTCACTGCAGGACAGTTTCATCGTCTTTCTAATGCATTTAATTGGAAGTTTTCGCTTACAGTTTAACAATGATATCAAGATTGAATTAGTACTAAATATATGTGTATATATATATTTTATATATATATATGTGTGTGTGTGTGTGCGTGTGTGTTTGTATTTCTACAAACCATTATGATCTCCAGCGTGCTTCTTGATCTAGCTTGCCAAAATACTGTAATAATCAATTTTGCCCAGTCTTGCCAGGACCCTGACCAAATGGTGTCTTCCACAATGGTATCACAGATTCTGTAATTCTTGCTGCACCCTGGATCTCACAAGGACTCTGATGGTCTGTGCAGTTGGCAGCTTAGCACCACTCAGCTGTTTGCTTGCTGCCCCTCCATGGGGCGACAAGGAGAGGGTGAAAGGTTGAATGAAAGAAAACTGGTGAATTGAAATACAGACAATTTAATAGGGAAAGCAAAAGCTGTGTGAACAAGCAATGCAAAATATGGAATTCAATCAACTCCTTTCCATCAGTGAACAAGTGTTCAGCCATTTCTTAGGATCATTAAGGCTGGAAAAGACTTCTTAAAAATTATCAAGTCCAGCCATTAACCTACCATTGCCAGTTCTGCCAGTAAACCATGTCCCTATGCACAACATCTACACTCTTTTTGAACTCTTCCAGGGATGGTTATTCCACTACTCTCCTGGGTAGCCTGGATCAGTACTTGATAACCCTTTCAGTGAAGAAATTTTTCCCAACATCCAGTGTGAACCTCCCCTGATACATCTGTCCTGTCACTTGTTACGCTAGAGAAGAGACTGACCCCCTGTGCTCTCTGGGAGTTGCCGAGGGTGATAAGCTTCCCTTTCCCCAGGCTAAACACCCCCAGCTCCCTCAGCTGCTGTTTGTTGGAGTTGTGCTCCAGACCTTTCCCCAGCTCCGCTGCCCTTCTCTGGACACTCTATCACCTCAAGATCTCTCCTATGTGAGGGGCCTAAAGCTGAACATGGATTTCAAGGTGTGGCCTCACCAGTGCCAGGTACAGTGTGTTTTATCACTTCCCTAATCCTGTTGGCCACAGTATTTCTAAGTTCCATTTAGAACACAAATTTCTAAATTTCACATTACCAGGAAGGCAGTGTTTCATCACACATAACCTCTACTTAGGAAGACAAGCATCAAAACTCTGAATTTCTCCCTTGCTTCCTCCTTCTTTTCCCAAATTTATTTCTGAGCATGATGTTCTGTGCTATGAGTTATCCCTTTGATTGATTTGGCTTGGCCCCTCCCAACTTCTTGTTCATCCCCAGCCTACTTTCTGTATATCAGCATTAGAAATAGAGAAGGCCTGAAAGCTGTGCAGGACTGTACGGCAACAGCTAAAACATGGATGTGTTATCAACACTCTTTTGGTCACAAACCCAATTTACAGCACCATAGGAGTTCCTGTGAAGTTAGCTCCACACCAGCCAAAGCCAGCAGAAGGAATAGCAAATCATATCAACACAGTCTTAAAAAATGAAGACAACCCAGTACCTGGTTTCTCCTGCAATACTGAGCTACCCTTTCTATCATACTCCACTTTCTTATGCGTGGAATATTATAAAAGTACCCAGTTGATATTGGAAGAAGACTAGTTCTGCTTTAGATAAATTTGCAGTTGAATTGTGCATTATCATTTCAAATAGAAAAACATACTCTTCTAAATATTTTCCCTGTTTATGCCTATTGATGTGAAAAGTGAGGTATATTTATCTTTGTCAGTGTGACAGAAATTTTTATCCTTATGTGTGTGAATAATGTATATTTTTTTAAAAAGAGAGAGAGAGAGAATACATTCCTGCAGCTGTCCTAGGACAGTAAGTTCTATATGTTACGTTTATTGGGACACTTTTTTAGTGAGCTCTTTTGTATACTAGAAGGAGAAAAACCACCTGGATTACTCACTTGTCCACTTTTTCTCATTTTCTCTTGTTCTTCTTTTGCTTTATGTTAGGCTTTATGGTATCTAATCAGACACACCTAATTTTATATCATTTACTTCTCATCTTTTGACATCTTAATTCTACCTTATTCTGAGATGAATTTTCAGTAGGTTGTCAGATTCTACAATGATTGACTCTATTTTTCTGTCAGTTACCTGATTGATTTGAATCTTTATAATGGTGGATGGTACTTTCTGGGGCATTAGAATGGAAATCCTATAGAATTCCACATTAAAGATAGGGAAAAATAACACAGAAATCCATCTTGATTAATGGCACTAGAATAGGCGTTGGACAAATGTCAAGGTCAGAGGTGTCTGCAATCAGCTGCTTCTCTGAAATTAGCTGATAATACTGAGCATCCAATAAGCATCTGTTTTCAGTTTTGTTTGTTTAAAAAAGAGTTGTGGCCGGTTTAGCAAACGTAAGAAAAAATTGTCTGTTATCTTTCTGCCAGCTCACAGCAAGTATTCAAAACTCAGATGCTTTTCTGAAACTTGTGGCTTGAAAATAGGGCTGGAACTCATAGATATCGAGGTTTTTCCCACATGCGCAATTCCCATCATTTCTAGCCAATGTGAAATTGGAAATACTGCAGGGGAAAAAAATCCTGGTTTGCTTATACTGAAGTGTTTACATTTCCTAATTATAATTAATACCAATTAAATCTAATACTTGCTGTGTTGTAACAAAAAACACTGAGAGTGTTATGGAGACTGACATTCTAAAATGCTAGAGGGGATAAACTGTACTTCTGCTGATGTCAGTGCTGGTTTGTATAACTGCATGTAATGTAGCCCAGTGCCTTCAGCAGGGAATTAGGTGCCAGAAGCTTTGGGTTCTATTCCCAGTTTAGCTACTTTATATGTGATGGTAGCAGTTGGTTAATATCCTTTTCAGAGAGTGCCCCTCTTTCCTGATACACAGAATGTTAAATAAAGATTCTTGCTAGTTTTTGTAGTGAAAGATAATCTTTGTCAAGTACTTAGTGAATCCCACATTAAAGACATCTTGTGTAAACTGTCTTAATGCTTCACTAGCTGTATTTGATATGCCTATGCTTTTTGGAAAAGGCTTAGATTATTCACAAAGTTGAAATAATCTTTAGTAAATCTAATTATGTGCAACAATTATATTAGTTTTCCTACAGTATGGAGAACTACTGATTATTATAAATTAGTATTCACTTACTGTATTTCCATTGAAATTACCATGTGGGGCGGTTAAAAATATGTTCATATTTATTTTCCTTTTAAATTGCCATGATACGCAAGAAGGCCTTTGAAAGTATGAAATTATTGTGTGGTCTGGAATGCTCTTTAGTTCATCAAATTCTTGCTCAGAATTTCTTAGAAGAAAACTCCTCTTTTGATATGAAACTATCTCTCACCAAAAAGAAATCAGAATACTTAGATGACTATGAGAAAGACGCAAACGACTCTATTTTGAAAAGGAGAAAAAACGATTTTTGTTACTCTAACTGTTCAGCTCACTGGAAGGGCTATTATTGGGGTTTTCCATGGTGTTTCTTATTCTCCTTGTGCATTCCCTCAAGAATAATACAAATGAGAAAGTAGATGACATACAGGAGTAGGTGACTAATGTTAATTAAATTTATTTCTTATTTTGCCACCTGACTATTTCATCTTGTTTGTCCATTCTAGTAAATGTAGAAATAAATAGCACACATTCATGCAGGATCTTGCAAAATATGTTTCCAAATTCTTCTTCATTGGGTCTGGGTCAGAAAGCATGCAAAATCTTTAATCTGGGCTTGGAGTCCTCCCTCATGAACTGGAATGTGAAAATGAAGTCTTTATGCTTTGTAGCAGTTAGGGTGGGAAAAGTGTATCTTCTTCTCTTCATTTCTCTAAGAA